CCACGATCCTGATAATATTCCTCCTTGAACGAGACTCTAAGTCCTCACATTTGTCCTGTAGTGATTCCAACTTAGCCTTGAGACGCGCCACGATGTAACGATATCATCCATACACGAAGACAGACACTTCTCCATCTCGCCAGTGGTACTTTTCAGTGTGGCTAGCTCTGTAGCAACCGAGTTTTGATAAGATTGCAGTTCAGACCGTACAACATTAATGTCGGCTCTGAATCCCACCATTTCCTTTTCCAGCACGTTTCTAATTTCCGACTTGATTATATGTCCAATCTTCACGTAAGCAACTCTTGCCTGAAAGCTAGAGTGGTTAGCGCCATGGTCTCGTCAGCTGGGTTTGGTTTATCACATTGGTCCGGGGATGACCCGGAAATAATAAAATAATAATTATAAATGTTATCATGTTGCCATCAGTCACATATCATTGTAACAATAATTTACATAGTATAATGATCACTGCTACATTAAAGTTATAGTGATAACCAAGGCTAGTACTCCCTAGTTAGCCATCAAGTATTGCGTTCATGAAGGAGCCCCATATTTACAAAGAATATCGGGTATGTTTTAAATATAAAGTTAATTGTTTATAATTGGCTATTTTGGTTATTTCTCCCAGCTATTCAACTGTTATTATACCTACAAAAATTATGGCATTTTGTGAGTTACCTAATTCATTCTGAAACAGCAATACATGACAGGCCTAAAACACATAATGACTATGGCATAAGCCTATAAATAAGAGGAATGAAACCAGGGAAAATTTGTTTAATGACCTAGAGTTGTATAGTGCATAGTGGGGTTTTTTCAGGCTTAGTGAGTACAGTGTTATTACTACTGATAGCAATGATGACCAAAACTATGAAAATATGAAAAATGATCCTTTAAATGTGCAACAGTTTTAGTGTGGTTATGATCTCATACTGTCATTAATACAGCAATGACACTGTATACTGTTCTAACCCTAACCCACAGCTGTCCAGGGATCCAGTTCCTAGCATTATTAGTACTCATCATTAGTATTTATTCATTACACTTCCATTCTATACTCTAGTACAGTGGTTCCCAACCTTTTTCCTGAAAGGCCCTCTTTTTTATCATTGACTAAACTGACGACCCCTGACTAAATTGCATATTTTATGGATATTTCATTTATTCAATGCATAAAAATAACAGCAAAGCACAACTGATAAACTGTAAAAAATTAAACATAAGAACTGCAGGAAGTTTGTGTACAATTAGTGATTTGAATAAATTTTGAGTAGATTATTTCCTGTGAATATCACGTTAGAGATTTATTTTTAGGAACCTTTTATACAATTCTGTTTGTATTAATATTGGGGCAGCTGTGGCTCAGAGTTAGAGTGCGTCGTCCACTAATCAGAAGGTTGTTGGTACAATCCCTGGCTCCTCCCTGCTGCATGTCAAAGTATCCTTAAGCAAGATACTGAACCCCAAGTTGCTCACAATGCTGTGTCATGTGCATGAATGAGTTAGTTTCTGTTTGATGGGCTCCTTAACTCTTCACTGTGTGAAAGGCGTGAAGTGGAACCATTTTTAAAATAACTGATATGTTGATAGCACAGGAAGCACACTTTTTTGGATGTGGTCGGAAGACTAGAAAGGTGGCTATACAAAATCCAGGTCCTTTTTAATTTTTTTTTTTTCGAGAATCATACAATATCAATTAAATCAATATTAAATCAGGCATTTTGGAATATTTTCTTCCTCCCTGATGCTTGTTCTATTAGTTCTTCTGGTTGTACTATAACTGTGTACTTTTTCCAATGATAAGATACATATGCATTATTTTTTAAGTTTTCCTACTTCCCTTAAATCAAGACAAGGCCTTGCAACCCCTTTGTGTAAAAGTCACTCTCTCGCGCACTCCCTAGTGGGGTCCAATCCCTATACGATATATTTTTAAACTGTTTTTTTTCTATAATTTCTATTATGATGTTAGGGCTTTTCTTGAATTGATTTGACCTAGTAGTTATAAATCCGATAGGACGGGCAACTGTATTTATAACAAGCTCCAGTATATCTGGTAGAAAGCACAAGTGTCTTTAGTGTGATTTATCTCGTGGTGGAGTCGTGGATATATTCATCGGGAACTAATTGTGAATATCCTCAATTGAGTGGAGCGTCACCTAAGGTACAAGCCCATTGTACTTCGCAACGGGATATCCTGATTTATTTTGAACAGGGGGGAACAATGGGCAACCATATTGAAATTCCCCCCCGGTGACTGCAATACAATGATATTTTTGTTCTGATTCTGATAGGACTGTGTTCAAAGATTTCTTTTCCCGTCTGTACTGTGCCTCGTTCACAGGGGTAAAAGGTCAACTGTGATTGAATCATTCACGTATCAGTTGGCATTTGGATTCTTGACAATAAACTATTAAAGTAATATATATTATTACTATCATCACTATAATTGTACATCAGCCGAAATTAATTCATACCCATGGAAAATTGTTATGATGTACAAGGAGGCATTCAATTGTGGACAAAAAAACTCCTCATACATCTTTTATTTTTACATTGTTTCGCACACAAGAGCAAGTGGGCATGTACCAAATTATTCATACCCTTCTCAACTTAAATTCAATAGGAAATTTGTCTCTTTTTTTATTGGCTAATTACAAGAAATCAAACGCCCTATAGTCCGCTGACCAAGCATATAGGTTGCATGTCACCACTGGATATTTTGATTTCATTCTTTTAGCAATATAGCTCCAACTCGTTTCAGGTTTGGGAGGTCTTCCTTGCCATCCACTCTGAGATTAGCTTCCCCTCCACAAGATTCTCCAATTGAATTTAAGTCAGGACTTCTGTCTGGGGCCACTGCAAATGTTAATGTTTTGTCCCGCTTAACCATTTCTTCACCACTTTAGCTGTGTGTTCTGGGTCATTGTCGTGCTGGAAATGTCCACTGTGCCCAGGCCAAGTTGCAGACTGCTGATGTTGTTCAAGAATCTTGATGGTATTAAAAGCATTTGAGTTCCCACAACCATGTTTGACGTGGGACATGGTGTTCCTTAGGGGTTGAAGGCTTCTTCCTTTTTTACGTCAAATGAAGGATATCCGTCCAACATGGGTGGCCTAAACAATTAAATTTTTGTTATCTCGACCATTCAAAACAGAAGACAGAAGTCTTCTTCTTTGTCCAGGGGATTTGAGCATTTGCAAAGGGGCCAAGCGGGCTTTGTGTTGCCTATATCTAAGAGAAGTGGGCGTCCTCCCTTGCTCTCGCGGTCCGTGAGAACCCAGCAGTGTCGGGCAGTGGTCCGTTGGACTGTCTGCCTGAGACGTTGCCACCAGCAGAGGACCAGATTCACTAAGAATGGCCACTTAGGTGGTGATCCTTGGAATTCTTTTTCACCTCTCCTCACTATCCTCCTTGGCCAGCAACAGGTGGTCATCTTTTTGGCTTCCAACGACGTCCTCTGAGATTTCCCTCTCCTCTCTCCAGTGCGAAGACGTCTGTATTTTTAAATAAGTACTTTGCACTGTAGCCACTGGAACTTGAAAAAGATAATGGCCTTATAAGTCCTTTTCCTGACTTGTGAGCAGGCACAATGGCGCAACGCAGGTTCTCAGTTGATGCTTCCTATGTCGTGTATGCCATGACTGTCCCCACAAACCAACTGCAGGAGAGGCTGCTGTTTTTCACCTGTTGAGTTGATTAAAAACAGCTGTTCCAATGAATCAGGCGTAACTTGAGTGTTGCTAAAGAACAGCTTGGACTTATTTTGGATGGTATAGAACTTTGTATTTCCCATAGGACTGGGCGTATGCACAGGTTGGCAATAGGGTATGGAATTCAATTTGACATGCCGACTTTTTTGTGTCAAAAATTGTAAATAAAAGCTGAGAAATAATTTTTTTCCACGATGACCTCTTGTGACATCCGTACTTAATCTTTTGGGGAAAAAGCCTGTCATTTCCGGTTTATTAAAAAAAAAAAAAAAAACTATGGTTGAATAAAAGTAACTAAGTCAAAATTTGCCAGAGGTATGAATAATTTTGGGCTTGACTTTATATATCAGGATGATTGATCATGCTGGACTATCGTTTCATGCTGGGCAGGAAGACCAATCAAGAGATCAGGATCAGACTATTCCAGCCCTGGTTCCCACAAACAAACAACCATCTCTGAGAAAGTGGTGGTATCTTACAATGTGTGCTACTTGGGAAGGTGGAAAACCTGCCTGATTACTTCGTAATAACTAAACAGGAAGAGGAAACTGGCCCAGAACAAAAAGAGCTAAAGTTTCTTGAAATGACAGATACAGAATGTAAAGACTTCACCAAAGCAAACCGATAATAACTGTGGCATACATTCTCTACTTAACACTATAAACAGGAAGCAGTCTTGACAGACAGACACCTTGCTCTCACAAACCTGTTTTGTTTTGCTGTGTAACAATCATACGTACTTACTAGGCTGTTTTCTTGTCCCTGACGCTTGGCCAAAGTTGTATTAGGCAATTTACTTTTCTTCACTGAAGTGAACTAAATGCTAAGATATAGGCATACTGTGTAAATATTTCTAAGTTTTCTTAGACCCCTTAAAATCAAGGAAGCCTTGCATGAAGCCTTTGTTACCCCTATTGAGGGTCCCGATCCCCATGTTGGGAACCACTGCACTAGATGGTTCCATGAATCTTGAACGGAACCGGTTCAAGAATCACAGCAAATTTGGCACAAACACGCTATATGAGAGTTGGATCTCTTCCCAGCTGGTCCCTCTGTCTTACGTTCGTTTTTAGTTGTGATAAAAATGTCAACAGATTTAGTCATCATAAACTGTTTTTTTATTTTGTTATTGTCCAAATTATTAGTCAATAAAATTAACACTGATTTTCACCACTCTTTTTTCAAATCTGTTTTTAGACACACAAATGACTGCAGTACTCAAACCCTTTCATGTGTTTTTTCGAGTCAATCTCTGGTGGTGTAACAAATGAAGCAGCAGCCCATTTTCATGTAACTGAAATATTTATTCTAGTAAACAGTACAGACCATATAGAGGATCACTGTTCAAAATAAACCAGCATCTGTTCTCTCCTCAGCTTTTAGTGTAACTGTGAGCAATCCTCCGAATGGTTCTTTATTAAGTTTACTTTTTCTTCTTTGTCTTCACTTTTTATAGGACAAATATAACAGACATGATACTATACAGACTGTATGCACATTGTATTCATCTTAATACAGACGAATCAGATTATTTTGCCTACATGGGAGGAAGGGCAGTTGAAGGCAGAAAACAAAAGCTTCAGAGAAGAAAAAAGTTAAGTGAACAAAGAATGAAACAAGTCCCCCAAAATAACTTTTGCTCACTATCAAGCATCAGTAAAGACAAAGGCTTCATACCAAAATGAAATTTCCACAATTTTGAGAGAAATAAAATGCACATTAAAATTAAAGTTTTAAATTGTAAATCTTGATAGTTTTCAGCTGTCATTGAATAAAGATTTATTTATAGGATGCTAACATTTCTTGTTAAGTAATGAGCATCGTCTTGACCACTTTCTTTCCCTGAAATAGATAAAAAGAATTTTGGAATGAAAGGTTTGTAGATTCTGCAGGTAATGGAATGAAATCAAAGCATGAACTTCCTCTGCCAAGTGAGCACAGAGGAGGGGGTAGTTGCAGGTGCTTAAATAATCATATTAAAAACATATACTACATATCAAAAACATCACACTGGTTTCACAGGATACACAAAACAACAATAAAAATAAACATTATCTATTGCACAATGGAAATATCAGATGACAAATACAGTATGAATGATGAGCTTACGGCTCTAAGGAGTACACTGCAGACGGGCAGAAACACATGAGGAACAGATGGAGGGTCACAGTTCGCAGTGGGCTGGGGATCAAGTGTCAGCACATTTTGGCACAAATGTGGCTGCAACAGTGAGTGTCGAAGAGTACCATCACATATCTGTCATTCATTATGCTGCATCTGATTCTTTGATCCAATAGTTCCTGGTTTCATTTGACTAATTTTATGTTTGTACATACATTTAATATTTCCGGCATATTCTTCTTCTGAAAAGGATTTCAGAAAATATATTGTTGTATCAGTACCAAAACTCCGGTATTGTACTGCCACTAGGGCTCACTTCTCAGTGAGCGTGTTGGCAAAAAACAGCTTTTCTATTCAAGAATGTTAATTTGTGACCTTGGAAACAGTAGTTTGACCAAAAACCTTTTCCTGAGCTTTCGACGGTGAGACGTGGTTGAAAGCTCTAATAAAGCCCACCTTCAGTTCATTGTTTCTTGTTAAGGTTTTCATATATTCAAGTACTAAGTTCTGCTTCTGCGAGGTCAACATTTTGTGGAGAGTACTGCTATGATTAATGAAACTTATGGGAAACTATGATTGGTCAAATCTGAGGATTGGACAAAATTTTAAGGTCGCACAGAATTCGGGGGGGTTGGTTGAATTTGTGTTAATTGTCGCGTTCGCAATTTCCTGGAGGGACTATGTAACCTTGATGGACTTTCAAGATTATGAAATCACATGAGAATCCATCTTGCCAGGCTTCAAGCTATGAGCTTGTGTCCAACCACAGTGGTACTGGACCAATCATCGTCCGATGAGGAACTACTGGTAGGTAATCATGAGTTACATGTTGATCTGATTGTAAGTTCGCCCGTGTTAGAAGATGATAGACAGATGGTTCATCAAGTGCCTGCCCTTTTCCAAAGAGTTTCCAACAATGACTGTCTGGCGCTGTCAGATGAGGTATGTCAAATGCTGTCCATAGGACACATTTTCTACAAAGCCCTCTGCTTCCTAGATGTCATTTATACTGTGTGAAGATATCATAAGTAGCCCAAACCTCCCAAAGCAGAAGGTACCATTGCATCCTGTGACACTCAGATCTATTCTACATGATAGATTTCTGTTCCCATGTTTCACAAAGGGGTTGCTTTCAAAATGCAGCTGAGCCATCCAGCTGTGATTAAAACAGACCCACTGAGACCAGATTTAAGGGGACATGTTTTGGTGCCCAAGATGCCTGTCACATTGTTGTGAACAAGTTGGTAGCTCTTTAGTTCACTGGAAATGACTCTTTTACCAATGCCATTCATAATAAACTAATGGTTAATAGCTGCTAGCTTGTGAGCTGCTAGTTAGCAGCATGTTATGTTATATAATGTTGACATTAGCGTCTGTTTAAGATACAACTTATATAAATATTATATATTTGCAAAGGAGGGGCCAAATTGTTTTTAAAGTCACAAGTAAGTCTCAATTCTTTGCACTCAAGTCCCAGGTCCAAAACTTTTAGTTTCAAGTCCTAAGCATAATGTCATAACGAGTCTCCACAAAATGTAATACCATTTTAACAACATAATGAACTGAACAAAATTACCCTTAGTATAAGTTTTCCAAATGGCGCTCAGTAACGTAACGTTAATTCTTCATGGTTCTCTTCAGCTACTTGGTTCAAACAAAGTGGATATGGGAAATTAAGTGTCGACTTGCTAAGAATGAATATTAACGTTACTTGTTTTATGAAGTTATGGAAAATAATAGATTCGTGGGGGAATTTTAAATACTTTTTAATCTTTGAGCTTGGGGGAAGGTATCACGTTTTTTCAAGTCAAAAGGCTCAAGTCCAAGTAAAGTCACGAGTCATTGGTTTGATTTTGTCAAGCCTAATGTAAAATCATTCGATGTCATTCATGTGACTCAAGTCCACATATCTGTATATCTGTGACCTGTTTTTGTGACTTTTCTTTTTAAGATTTACATGTCAGGATTCCTTATCAAAACTATTGGGTGGCAGATTACAACAAGCTAGCTTGTTAGCTGACAGCTGACAACACCCCTTTGGCTTCAATGAAGAATGAAAACCGACGTAATGAAGTTCCTCATGAGTTAACATTTTCACTACAGTGTAACAGGAGCATGGCAGAGGTTCAAAATGCAAATATGCTTTAAATGGCTCAGAAGTAGATGGAAGCTGGAGGTTGTCAGCCGTGTACAGCTTAGAGAAGCTCACACCCGGAACACTGCTCCCCTACAGCTACACAGTTGTAACAGCTACAGCAAAGTAAATCTTCATGATATGTAAACAAGACACAAAATGGCAGGGAGAGGCAGTTCACATTTCTATCTGGCAGAATTAGTTGCTGCACATCAACTTTAACTCCAGGATTTCTGTTCTATTTGGATGAATTCACATTACACGGATTCTTAGCATTTTTACCCCCAGAAAGGCAGTTCCACACAGGTATAGTATCTGGAGGGACGGGGGAATCGTTGTTCGTCATGCTATTGACCTCCTTATTACCATCATCTTCTTCAATGTGGCGACTGCAGAACCAAATATAACACTAAATAACACAAGATTATCTTGTCGTACAACTCAGGGCAAAGCCTTATACAGAGGCTGCTGTGATCCAACACAAAGACAGGGTTTACATACCGTCTTAGTAGTTACAAATTATTTTTCATCATAATGTGCTTGTGCAGTTATCGGTTTAAAAAGTAATTTGTTTGTTCTGGAGTTCAACCCAAGATACAGCTTGTTAGCATCTTACCGAGACCTAGCCCTAATCCATGACCATCATGTTTTATATTACAGTCCTGGATGGATGTCTAATGGAACCTAGACATCACTGTAAAATATGCATTCATAAAATGTGTTATGGGAAGAATGTTGAAAATTTTAATTTGAATATATACAAACTCGCCCCTGCTCGTGGGCAATCGATTTAGCAACAACTAGTGTGGCTGTGACAACTGGATCTGATTTCGTTGTTTTAGACAATGCCATATGCTATATGCATATGCTCCATAGAGAATATGCAGCTGGTTAATTTTTAATAGAAGTTGCGACGCACCTGCGGCAAGCCTCGGAAATGCTCTCGGTGGGTTCTGAAGACGCATAGATCACAGAGCTATAAAGCCGGATTTGATCCATGCTAACAAACCGGAACTTTAATCAGCAGCAGTGGCTGGAAGTTATATTAAAGAAAGACTACTCACTATAGCAGTAGTGTCACTGATCTATATTCGGCTTCCAGTGGCAGCACTAAGCACACTGCTGTTTAGCGTGGTGGTGAACAAAGAGGCTGTCAAGGGGGAGTTTGTATTTTTCAAAATTCTTCCTGTGGGAGTGATTTCTAAGCTACATCAGAAGACATCCAGCACTGCATTACAAGGTATGACGTCCCTAAGACCCAAGTACTGCTAGTGGTTATAACTGCTCTCAATTATGAACACTAAAAATTAACAAGCTTTGCTTTAACTAAGCCAAGTGTAAGACTTCTTCCTCCCCATGATTACCAAATTTTACCAAAAATTAGAAACTCAATATGTTACTCTTTAAAGTAACGTTTAGGAGAACACGTGCTCTGAGCAGAATCCAACTGCAGTGCATGTATGTGTCAAAACACTGACTGAAGCATATGACTGGTCATCGACTAACAGAATACAGACTTGCACATATAAAACACAACATGATAGAGGGGCTCTGAGTGAAACAGAAAGTCTTGAGAAAATAAGTCCAGAGCGGACTTCAGTCTGACTCAAACATCAGTCACCGCTTCAAGTAAATAACTCATATAAAAACAAGGGGAGTGGTTAAGTCCATGGTGGAACATTAAACTATGACACATCAGAAATAGTACTATTTCCCATTTTCAGCCTAATGACAGCTGATTTCAGCCAAATCTTTCCAAACACTCTGCAGCTTGTGCTTGCTGTGTGGAGCACTGGAGTGACTGCAACTACAAATCATAGCACTGACCGACTACAGTTATTTGGATGTTCTTTTAAAACAAAAACATGTCAAAATAATAAAATAACCAGCTTGTGAAATAAAAACTGTGTTAAAATCCTCGCTCCCTAAAAAAATGAATTCCCTCATCTTGCCTTTCATTTGTCAGATGTGGTGTGACATCACAGCATCGAGATCGGAGCACAGCTGTCGAGAAGACGCATAGTTAGCTCTTTTCATCTATATACAGCGGACAGAGGTGGAGAGAGTACTGCAGTCCACAGTACACTCTCACATTCATGGACAAAGAAAATATATATGTACATTTTGTTACCGTCACTCCACAGGATACGTTGACATCTGAAACATTATTTTCATTTTTCAGGAACTTACACATTAGAGGGAACCAGTGTCATGGATCAGTTTTCACGCAGTTGAAGAGCTTTTTCCTTTCTCCTATAATGTGACAAGAGTGAAATGTGAACATATCCAACTGAATGTTGATTAAAAGTGGGACGAGGGTCAAACCTGAAGGTAAAAAACAGACACTCTAGACCAGATTAATCCGCTAATCTTAGGGCAAAAACTGGCTGCAGTTGACTCCTCCATTCTTCCACTCTTCCATTAGTTTGTGGAAATTTGATTAAGCACACACTTATTAAGGAATATGCACCATGCAAACACAATATGAACAAATAACAATTATAAAGATCAATTTACACGTCATGATCAGTACTACTCAGCCTGTAGTCTTGTGATACCAGATGATTGGAGATCTCGCCGTTGAGAACCGCCGCTAACAAACACATGTCCCCCCTTACTTCAAGGACATAACTCTGCTGATGCTCTCCGGCCATTCTCCTCCGTACTAAAACAAACAGATAAAGCAAATCAGTTTGTAACACGGAGAGTGAATATCAATGCCCTAAAGGCTTCGGATACGTCTGCAATTTAGGTTTTCTAATTGTTTCCACCAGGGCTGTCCCCTAATAGTCGACTAAAACGTTAGTCACTGAGAAAAGTCTTAGTCAACGAAGTCAACCTCATGAACAGGTAATAAGGCAGGTAGTACCTTTCAGTTTATATTGTGCTTCAGCATATTCCTTAAGAAATTTGCACTGAAACAAATGACCACAAACTAAGGGCCACACTGGTGCTGTAAAATCAAAATTAAAACTGATATTTGGGGAAATATGCCTCAACTTACCCTGAATCAGATGAGAAAGATCAATATCAGTTTCATTTCTGTACATCCAGTACAGACTTTCGTCTATTTTAGCACAAAGCAGAGGGAGTTAGAGAACAGCAGAAGTGAAAACAACTCAACTAATAACGACCTTCTCACTTCTTATCTCAGTCTGGGTTAGTGACAGTATTTCCTTAAAAAAAACAAAACATAATTCTCAATCCTGAGGAGTGCCAAATCCAGCCTTCTCTATGAACAAATACTTCTGTAAGACCTCATTTTGTAGCATAAATACTAAACGCTAAAAACTAACTGACACAATATACCATCCATAGCTCAATGATATATCTGTGCCCTTTTATATCAGGAAAAAATCCCTTTTAAGAAATACCTCGACAGATTTAATTGCAGCATTATTTTTCTTCACTACTGCTTGTTAGAACTGAAGAGAAAAAAGTCTGTTTGCTATTTTGCTACTGATAGCAACAGCTTTGTTAGCAAGTGATTCCCCGACTGTGAGTGAAGCTGGGAAAGAAAAACAACACGCTGAAAGTCAAACTGTGGAGGTGTTCTGCCAACAATGGTAAGCCTCAGTACAGTAAATGGATCCATCACATTACTGTCTAGCCACTATAGTGCATATACAGTGCATCCGTTTGTTTCCATCAAGCCTCCTCCTCCTCCTCCTCTCCCACTTTATATCAGCAGGAGAGTTTTGCAGTGGTGAGTTCTTGGCCCTCGGTTATGTTGTTTTACAATGCAGGGTCAGTGGCCATATCAAGTGTAGGGGAATGTAAATAGTGGAGGTGCAGGTCCTGTGTGTGTGTGTGTGT